TTATGACCAATTATACTTCAATGTGAAAATCAAACCAAATTAATGTGATAAGAAATCATCATAATGTAAAACACAACTCAGGTTAGGTATCTCCTGAAAATCACTCAAAATAGCCATATGTCTTTTGTGTATATGAATGATTATAGCGCTAATGTGAGTATAATTGACACACTAACTTTAACTGGACTTTTCGGTAATATGAAACATCTTAAAAAAAGATACAAGTAGGATGACACAAGGGATATTTTGTGCAGAACCAAAAATGTTTCCAAAACACATTTTACTTTTATCATTAAATTTATGTAATATTTAAGATGTATTACTCAGCGCATAAAGTTTCCAGTGAATCAGTGATAAGAGTATGAAAAGGAAGACAGGAATGGCTCTAATCTCCTCCAGCGTATTATACTATCTCAGTATAGGATTAACTGAACTCTACAAAGTTAGATATTCAACTGTTTTATTTGCCCCATGTATATTTATTTATGAGTAAACTGCTATTTTCAGTACCAGACAACTAATAAAATCTATTACTTACAAACGCTGTGTCAGCATTTCATTTTTCGACTTCTATTTGTATTTAAGAAGCAACTCACAAACTCAAATAAATAAATAAATAAATAAGGTGACGGTGTACTGTAAAAGAAAGTACGCAGGTATGTAGGACTGTATGTGGTGTTTTGTTATAAGCAGTTAACTTTCGAAAATTAAGTGTTTTTCATTCTCGTTAATTATGTATTTCAAAGAGCAGAGAAATTTTCACCAGTAAACTTTTTTCAACTTAAGTATTTATCTGCTTTTTTATTGTTTATCAAAAACTGCTCAAATATGATTATTATTATTATTATTATATGTTTGTTCCCGCTTTACTTGATTCATTTCAGGCTAAAGAAAAATATTCTATCACAGTGTCGTATGCTTACAAGAAAAACAATACTTATTATTTTTTTTAAAGGATAATAGATTTTCCTACTAATTATAGGACTACAGTAAGCAGAAAAAAAAAACTGTAGTGAGTAATTAACTCACTAACTAACTCGCTGCGATGTTATTCTTCATCTCACGTTTGTTCACTGAACTGATTATTCCTTCATAGAATATCTACTATTTTGTATTTTCAATTCTTTTGTTAGGGTGTAATTTAGAATAGCGTGAAAAAATTATATAGTTTTTCAGTTATTTAATATGAATAATTTCATTTTGAATAGAAATAATACAATTATTAATAAGATTGGTCAATACCAGGTACATTTAATGCACTGGCAGTTTTCATAGTTGTTGTTTTTCATTGAAAATAATCGCCCTATACTATCTGCTTACTTTTCTCCTCTCAGCACTAAGAAGCCTATATATATATATATATATATATATATATATATATATATATATATATATATATATATATATATATATATACAGCCAGGCATATTAATTAGCACCAGCACATACGCACACACATCCAATATATTTAATAATTAAAGCAACATTTTATGATTAAACTCCAGCATACAAGTTAGCGATGTGAATAGGTAAATATCCCCGTATGACTATTGTTTTTTTAAATAATCTAAATCTCTATAGCAGTTTACAAAGAACTGTTTCCTTACTATCAGTAACTGGTGGGGTAATTTACTGAAAGTGACGTATAAATTATTCATTAACTAAAACTTAATATTTGTTCGTAAATCAACCTTGTCAATATTATTGCATGAAGTGAATTGTGTAGAACGTATGTAATATTTATAAGTATAGGTGGACACTCTTTTTTAATAATAAATGTAATTATGAACACGGCTATGGTAATAAAAGTGTCGAAATTATATTATTATTATTATTATCAATATTAATGGTAGTAATAGAAACTGTTGCAATGAACCTTTATTTATGCCACTGTTACCATTAGGTACGAAATAATTTATTTATAAAACCTACACTTAATTATTCAGTATTTCATTTATTATACCTAAACATGTAGATTGTTTTTTGTCCCACTTCCTTTCTCATGTAATGTGTATAGGATACATTAAATTACCTTACATCTGTTCATAGTGAACTGGCTGGAAGCTAACCGTTTAAAACTTCTATCAATAAAAACTGTATTGAACTATTTTCCTGAGTATTGTTCAACACATGAACCTAATACTATGCAGCAGTCCCATTTGTGTTTGACCTTTGTATTCAGTTATCCTCGTAAACATCAGAAACATAAGTGATAAACCGACAGTAATATATGTATGCCATTTTTCAGTTTGTATAAGACAGAAAACATCATTACTTAATCTGTAAGATTCCAGGTGTAGAGCTTGAGCACTGTGGTGGGATATAATCCTGCATTCGATGGGCTTGTCTCATATAACACACGGTATTAGTGTTAATAAAGGTAAGACGCTTCGCCCATGAATTGTAGCCTATAATCGCATCATTTCGTGAGTGTTAAATACTACTAATTGCAAAAAGTTAATCTGCTCCATTCATTCTAATAAAATTCAGTCTTTCACGTGTTGAACAAGTAGAGATGGATGTCAAATTTTAGTTAAAAAAGGACAAACATTCATGAATATTTAGAAGGTTAAATTGATTTGACGCGGAATACATCTCCAGAAGCAAATGTAAAGAAGAAATCTACCATTCTCAGATCAGTTACGAGGTTTATTTTTGTGTGTGTAAAATAGAGCATATTGTGCGTCTATATTCGCCTGCTGTATGTGATGCTGACAGTCAACTTCCTTGAGGAAACCTAATTGAAATCTTTGAATTATTTTAACTGTTAATAAAAGTTAATAAAAATAATTTCCTTGTGGTTTAAAATATCTATGACAGTCGTGTATCAAAGTGCTTTCATTCCATAAGGTGGAAATATAAAAATTTGATTTCAGGCAGCATGAGCACGATTTACTATGAAAACTAAACTAATATAAAATCACTGATAAAATCCACGAATTATCTTTACTTTAGCCATTTAACTTTACCTAAATAAACCAAGTGGTGATGACTAACTCTGAATACTGAACTCTGAAAAGTCAGTTAAGTTTAAAACTAAATATGCGAGTAAGTGAAATATAAATTCAGACGAATACAGTGACCTGCTCCTATTACTTTAATACTGTTGACACAGAATCTTATGATACATAACCAGTAGCATAACAAAAGGCTGAACAGTATTGCCAGAGATTTCTTACACAGCATAAGCAGAACACGCTCTGAAACTGACAGAATTTCACTTTTTTTCTTCAGAAGTATTTACTGGGTACTGAATGTTTTTGATGAATAGAGTATTAACTATCATCAGTACGAGTAGCACAGCGTGTAATCCATTCAGTTACTAATTTTCACTTTTAGTAGTGGCGTGATCCATACAATTTCCATTCTGAAACTCTTCACAGTCATCCTCCTCTTTTAAAAATCTTCATTTCCTCATTAAACTAGTCCCTTTAGTTCTCTGTGTTTCATTCACATTCGTCTATTACACGTTGATATATATATATATATATATATATATATATATATATATATATATATATATTTGTGATAAACATAACAAAATATGAATAGTATTCAGCTAAATATGATTGTAATAAATTCTAACTTACATTTGTTATTTGTTTGGGTCTGTATGATACAAAATTTATAAAACAGACTACAAGCATTAAGGCATTTTAAAAGAAATATGAATCAAAGGAAAAAGGCTGAGCAGTTTCATGAGAAGTTTACTCAGCATAAAATAAGGAAGTACAAAAATATAGGACATGACAAAGTAATCTTCCATTAATCGTCGGTAAATCATCGATATAAGAATAAAACTTGTTCACTGTGGTAGATTATATGGGTAAAATTTATTCTGATAAAGTTTCACAGTGTTATACAGTAATATTTACTGATGACCATGTTTCGAGCACAAACTATTGCTCATGATCACATCAGGCTGATTATGATGATGAGCAATAGTTTGTGCTCGAAACATAGTCATCAGTTAATATTACTGTAAAACCTCGGTAGGTCACTTATCACATCACTCACATTGTTGCTAGCTGTATGAGTTATTTCGAAAAATTTCGGAAACTTATTAAAAAACAACAACCATTTCTAACGATGTGTTTTGTAACTGAATTGGAAATTTTCGCATTGGAATAAAGTGGCTAAACACTGGTAGGATATTATTAGTGATTATTTCCTCAGATTAATATTTTTCTGACAACCACCTTGTTAGTTACATACCAGTTGTTATACTTCACTGACTTTAAAGTGGAGATGTGTTGATGAAGCTCCGTGCTCAACTCGGAACTCAAGGAAAATAATAATAATAATAATGACTGTAAACAACAGTTGGTAATTAAATTTAATTCCGATGGGAAATCGTATCATATTCATTTTGAATAGCTGTATCTACTGCTTTGTGTTTTTTAAGATGACTTTAAATTACTTAATAGCAAAGTAGTTATTCCAGGAAATTTTACTTCCTTGCACAGTTATTTTTATTGTTTCACATAACAGTTATAATACAATGTATGTAATCGTGCTTAATCTCAGCAACCGAAAGTAGCTTTATGACCTCTTGTATAAAACTAAACAAATACGAGATTCTCTGTGCCAGACATACATTAAGTAGTATATCCTGATGTGCCAGGAATGGACTTTAGTCAGTAGACTCCGCAAAAATAAGCCTCTGAGTTAAAATGCGCTTACATTCATTTTGACTGGTAGATACAAATCTCAACTACTGATTCATATGAGTGCTATGAGAACAGTGAAGTGAAGTGACATAAATTGATCTTACACATTTTATTTATATAACAAAACATTTCGTATAATTTAAACTAACTATCAAATCTGGTAATTGTAAATATATGTTAAAAGACCCAATCTCATCCTGTAAAAATTCAAACATATCGTCTTAAAATTCAATTGGCCAGTTAGTAAAAAATAAATCACAGGTAACTAAATGTAAATTACAAAGTGAATTATCTAATTATGCAAAAGTTACATTTACGTATGAAACTAACCTTGGTCTCCCATAAGTTAAGTAATACGCATTCATTTCTCTCAACAAATTCTGTATAGCCTGTTTATCTTGAAATATTGATGATACTCTCTGTCTGATCTTTTTTTCTGATTGAAGTGTTTCGCCTAAATCGTCCTTATGAGTTTTAATAAATTTCACTACTGGTGGATCAATCCACAATGGAGGTACTCTATGAGAATCTGACTCAAATGAAGATGATGTAGGCGATAAATCGAATTCTGGTTCGGGTAGACGCATAGCATCTATGCAAAGATTTTTACTGACGCTTATTAGAGATTCGTTTAACAGCATGCTTATTAGTACAATATGAATCAATTTAAGTAGTATGGAGTTTTTTTTCATGTTCACTGCTGTATAACGCTTGTTGTCAGCAACAATTGTGGGATATTTTAAAGATTTTAAGTTTTCGATATTCTCATCTTTGTTATGACAATCCGTTTCAGTTAGTGAATTATGGTTAATTTTACTCAGTATCATTGACACCAGAAAAGTATTCATAATGATCATACTGCTATTCAGTGATTTCCTCAGCCTGTCATATAATGAATTTGATTTAGTCCATGAAAGACCTAAGAAAGTGTTATTCAGTTGTTCAATGTTATGTTTTGTTTTAATATAAGAAGTGATTTTGTTTAGATAACGAAATAATTCTTTGGCTTCACCACTTGTATAACTTTTACTGTCATCATTCGTAGTGAAATTTTTGCAGTATGAAGAATCGTCAAGATAACTGACAAACATTTAGGAAATCTTTCTGCTGATTTCGTGTAAAAGGTTATAAGACAGAGAATGAAGAGTTTATATCTATTTATTTACAAGCGTTTCCATCACAATATTGGTTAATCAGATTGCACGAAATTGGTCAAGTATGTTTTCCATATATGTGTGTGTGTGTTTGTGTGCTTATTTATATTTGTGTGTATGCATAGTTTATTTAAAGCATTTTTACATGTGGATTAAAAGACTCACTAATCTACTCAAGTATAATCGTAAAATCAACTCCCACGCATCCATCTACCGAAAGGATACATCTTCTCATAAATTTCCAATCTCCACAATGTATGTTCATTGGTTAAATCTGAAAAGAAATGTCTATGTAGTGATTTCAGATTTTTAAGGCATCAATTTTAAAAATAATATTGGTGTTAACTGTATTACCAAAATAAACAACTAATTAAGCAGGTTTAAACGTTCACAAGACGTTATTGTACAGTTCAAAGTTCTGATAGAACTATATCCTGGAACAAAATACGAAGCAACTGTTTGATACTAAACAGTAAGACATTTTTGCGAATACGTGATCATGACAGACAATACTTCAATAAAACCAATGATGGAGCTCCAGATTACTTCAAACTCTGTTACACAGTATATATGTTGCAACTAAAAAAATGAAATGTTTGACAACAGACAAATACTTTTAGAACAATAGGATAAAACAAATGAACACCATGGTGTTATTTGGTTGCTGAACACCACCTATGGAAAACAGGATATGCGTTTAGTCCTTTTTCGGAATAGTCATAGACTGAGTATGTTGATACAATGGAGTAAGCCAATGGGCAATCCAAAATAATTTTAATTAATAAGAAGTGAATTAAGGTTTGTACCCTTTGATTTTTAAAACCCGGTTATGACTCTTGCTGATCATGCATATGGTCCAGGGCTCGATCCCCTACCGACTCACACCTGATATCTATGGTCGGCCTGCAAAATTTGGGCTACCGATATCACATGCTGCAAAATTCCATACTTGTACCAAAAAATACGGTGTGGAATCAAGTTGTAATCTAAAATAAAAATAAAATTAAAAAATACGCGCATTTTCTGGGGAAGACGCAGTGATTTATTTACTTAAATAAGGTGATGAAAATAATAATGACGAAATCACCATTTGAAACAAAACACTTTTTCGCAGCCATTTCATTTTCGGTTATTCTTGAACCAATTTTTATTTCTGATGAATAACTTCAAATAATATCGATTTTCGTCTAATGCACTCTCCAAGTAAATATTTTTTCTGGTAAAAGATTTCACTTGAGTGTCAAAAATATGTTCAGTTTTGCCACAATTCTAGAGCAAGGCGATGTTTCTCAATTATATAATATATATATGTAAGGTTGTGTGACTGCTAGTGATTTAATTGCGTGAAAAAAATTATGCGCCAAGCGTCATCCTGCTGATTATAGTGACATTATACTGCACCGCAATGATAAGGATGCATTCTTAGATTGATAACCACTTTGACACATTCTCAGCGGGTTATAGTGTCTTCGTGGTATTCACAGCCAAAGTAATTTTGAGGTATTGGTTTTGTAGGGATTTTGTTTGATTGTAGGGAGTATTTCATCATGAGCTGACATCAGTTAGAGAACCACTGTGTGGGTACTATTTGTTGAAGAGTCCCAGACTAGGACGAATCAGCTGTCCAGTACTCCCATTTTTTCCAGTGGTTCTCTAACTGATATCAGCTCATGATGATGGATTATAAATGAATCTGCTGTTCTGTGAGTCAAATGTGGAGAATCATAATCGGAGTGAAAAAATTAGATTCACCAAAAAACTACTTGTAAATAAAGAAGCCAACTTAATTGGAACTCTCTTTTAAATTGTTAAAAGCAACTGTCTAGTTAGGTTGAAGTCAACCAAAAACTGCAAACATATTTTTATTAGGCTAAACCTATTTCCTAAGTAGCAGTACTATAATGTGCATAAAAACTAAACCTTTTGTATAAAAATGCAATAGAAGGACTTATGAATGGTATATTTTTTCTTGATAATAAGACGATATAACTATTTTTTTAAACATTATACCCATCTGATATTTCGCTTAAAACACTTACTTCATGGCATTACATATACTCTACTCTCAGCATTAAATTAAATTGTAGTATTTGTGAGGGTTTGGATTAGTTTGCAACTTAGATTTCGTCACGAACCAGCACCGAATAGAGGTCACTGAAAACCAGAGTATTTCATTCTAGCTCGAAAATCTTCACCAGTATACACCCATACACCCCCATCAGTGATTGGATCCATAACAAAATCTCAATTGAAACTATTCCTAATTCCCCACACACTATATGATCTGAGTAACAGTCGCCAGTTACTGATGACTACTGGATGGATATCCTGAAGCTGTCCAGAGAAGTCATGATTATAACCACCGTGTCAAGATGAAGTAGATTCTCATCAAGGGAATTAGCTGCTGATGGCGTTATATCAAAAATTGACGGAGTTAGAATTCACGGGTCACTGAATTCTAGCACAAGCGGCTGGACGATCAGCGAGCTTGATCTCGTAACCTCAAGGTCCTGGATTCGAAACCTGTCAGGGTCATTGGTAGGATGAAATGACCATTGAATTCTCTGGTCTCTTATTGATGCTGATTCGTGAAGAAATCTAACAATTAAAATCCAATTAAGTACCAAAAAAAATATTGAATTGGGAAAACTGAATTAATTTAAATTGATTCTTTTATTAGCTGAACTTCCCGCCATGTTTTGTTAGGATTAGCGGAAAATACCTTAAAATTTATTGAAATGTGATTCCTGTACTGAAAGAAAATCTAGCAGACAAATTGTTGGTGCTGCTTCGGGGTCACCAATGTGTTCATTGCTAGCTGACGTTTTACTCGCGAAATTAAAGAAAATTGACCTTTGAGACGGGTGATTGATGAAATGGAATTCTGTCGTCATTACATTTGTGATTATGAAAAATAAAAACGAAACGACAAAAGTCCTTGAAAAATATAATGACCTCCATCCTGAAATAAACTTTACTATCCAGAAAGTAAGAAATGACTGTGTTTCAATTTTAGGTTTGAAAAATAAGTATAAACTACTTCATTCTGCCTCCGGTCTAGTGTATTCCTGTCTTCTTACTCCCAACAGTCTACCACAATTAAGAATGTCATAGGTGATAATAGGCAACCAGCTTGTCTTACTCCTGTACTCACTTCAGAAGCTTCTTTGAGTGTTCTGTTGTGGATCACCTGACACGCGCTATTGTCAATTAGCCAAATGTTAAATGAGACTGATAAAGAATTGAGTACTTCACACTGTAGTGTTGAAGCAGTATCAAAATTACTTCGTGGTCAACGTTGTCGAAAGCCTTTTCGAAGTCAGTAGAGTTGTTGAGGTAGAGAGAGGTTTGACTGCCATTCCATAACTTGTTCGATGCTAATGCATAGAGTTATAATTTTGTCAGTACACTATTTGCCTTTCCTGAATCCAGCTTGTTCCGCCTGGCAGAATTCTGCATCTAACGCATTTTTATTCTCTCCAGGACGACGCCCTATTTACTGTTTTGCCTGAAGTGGATAAGAGTATTATTTCATGCTAGTTCAAGCTGAGGCCTAAGTCAGCCTTCTTCGGTTTTTCGACGGGGTATCCTTTATTCTAACCGGCAGGGTGCTTTCCTTTCCTCCACGCGTCTTCAAACAGTGGCGCTAACATATCCGCTAGGGTCTCTGGGTTCGTTTTGGGTGCTTCGAGAAGGGAAAAATTCTGCCTGAACTTGCTGCCTTAACGGACTTCAGTAACTTGTTTGTATTCAAGATTTCTGCTTTTGTTGGGGATCCGTGTCCACTGGCAATTCTGTGAGTGTTGTTGGTGATATTTATGGACGAGTTGCACATAAAACTAAATGCTGTCCCATATTCTTACTTTCTGTTGAATTGTGACACATTAATCGACCAGATTTTGCCTGTTATTTTCAAGACAAGTAATGACAGGTAAGAGGGATAAACAAATTATATTCATGTGAAGTTACCATTTAGTCTGATCCAGTGGATCAAGTTATACTGAGAGTACACATGCATACATTAGCGATTAGGTCACAGGAAATTATCAGTTGAGTAAGGTTATAGTTGGAGGATCTGGACTTCGCCGAGGATATATGTCTGATTTCCAACAAACTGGAAGATATGCAAGTGAACAGCAACAAGTTGGAAGAATAAGCATCCAGAGAACATAGGCGTTCAGGTGAACATTCAGAAAACAAAGATGATAAAGACTCCTGGGAAACGAAAACAGAAACAACAACAGACAACAATCAGCATAAATGGGAGGAACCTGAAAGAAACAACCTCCTTCACCTACCTGGGAAGCATCGTTTCAACTACAGGCGGAACTGACGAGGGTATCAAAGCCAGAATCGGGAAAGCAAGAAACGCTTCCATTACTCTCAAGTCTGTGTGGAGGTCAACACCACTCACCATCAGAAATAAGATCCGGATTTCCAACTCCAGTGTGAAGTCACTGCTACTATACGGATCAGAGACTTGGCCAGCGCGTCATAAAGAGCATCTCAAACAAACTACAGACCTTCATTAACAGCTGTCTTCGCTCAATACTCAAGGTCAGATGGCCGGCCAGAAAAGATCAGCAACAGGGATCTCTGGCAATGAGCGAACCAACCCATCGGGAACCGATTGAGAAACAAATAGGCAGGAAGAAATGGAGATGGACTGGATTGGCCATAGTCTGAAGAAACCATCAAGTGACATCACTAGACAAGCCATAGCTCGAGTGGAACCCGAAAGGGAAGCAGCGAGTTGTTCGTCAGTGTGAGGGTGACTTGGAGGAGGTCATGTGAAGAGGAGATGAAAGCATGTGGGCAGACTTGGAGCCAAGTGAAAAGGTTGGCAGAAAACAGAAGGCAATGGATGTGCACAGCTGAAGCCCCATGTTCCTCTAGGAACTGAAGGATATGGTAATAATATACTAATGTACCTGACA